ATGGAAAAAAAGCATGCACTTTATGAGTATTCTGCAATTTTGCCTGGTATACTCATTTGTGAGTATCTAGACATCCTTCTGTTTAAATCATTGTGTTTGTTCCTTTTCACTGCAACACAGTTCCTTGCAATACACCTAATAGATAAAGCAAAATGATTGCTGGTTCAGAAATTTGAATACTGATTATCTTTTGGTCCCATATATCTGGCTACTTTAYTTTTTACAGTTAACCAAAAAACCCAAACCCTGAATCAACAACAAAGTTTTTGYCAACCCTTACTGAAAGCATAAAATGCTACAAGTCTGCCAGAGAGTGCAGAAGCACGTGCTGCTCTCCACCTTATGCAGCTGCAGGYACAGCTGGGAGCCCCATTGCTGAAGCAGAGAGCACACACCATATTCTAAGAAAATGAAAGTTTCAGTCCACCACTCTGGAGCTGAGCCCCACATAACCATTTCCTGAGGAAGGAGAAGGTAGAAGGCAGCTCCAGCTGGGGAGGAACACACAGGATCCCAGCCAACCCCTATCCCTCCCTATCCTTTTTTCCAAAGACAGTTGAAAAGACAAATCCCTCCTGCGCAGACCTCAGTGTCTTGGCAGACCCTGCACACTCACAACCACCACCCCTTCAACTGCCCTATCCAAGAGTATTGCAGAAAAAGGAGGATCCCAAAATCTGTGAAAAAGTGAGTGCTGAGGGCACAGCTATTCCTAGGACCTGAGGGTTGATGTTTTGAAACCAGGGTTGTCCTACAAGATCAAAAATGTGTGCTGTGCCAATCCAGGCACTGCTCTTGGACAAGCCTTTTGGATGACTGGGAGCTCTGGCCACTGGAATAGGATCCAGACTACTTGTGTCGAGTCATGAAAGCAATACAGAACTGAACAAGTGATCTTTTTTCAGTGTAATGTCCACCAGAGGCTGGGATATAGGGTTTGGGTTCTCCTACTGAATCTGGGTTACATCCCTGTAGGAACAAAACAAGTTATCGCACTGCAGCTCACACCATCACATCTGAACTGTCAGACAAAACCTGTATCAACCCCAGGTGTTTGCTTAGTCATAAACTCTTTAAGACACAATTTTAGTTGTCAGAAGTGCATGACTGTATTGCCTAATCAAATGTACCAATGATAAAGCAAGATAATAGCTAGACCTGAGACACAAAAATATGCCCCAGGCACAATTCTACCAAAAAAAAATCCTCGTTGAAAAGTCTAACTAGATACAGTGAAAATTCGTTCTAATGTTAATATGGAGCAGGGAAAAAATCCTGGGTGTCCTGTAAGGACACAGTAACTGCAATCTCAGATATATGCACTCCTTTGACAACAAGTAACGAATAGGAGCACTGATTACAAAATTGCCTTTCTTGCACTTTTGCTACACAATGAAGCATTTGAACAGTGACATTTTTCCTATTATCAGAAAAAGCTTTTCAGAGTTTGCTTGAATATGCTGAAGGTCCTACTCTCTTTCTCTCCTGCTCTCCTATASCAAATTAAAGGCCCCAGTAGGTGTACTGAATGGTCCCTCATATTTCAGTGGTACATCCCAGTTGCCTCTTCCAATAACAACAAAACTCAATTATGAAAATTTCTTCTCTGAAAAATTGTTACCAAAAATTCTTGGCAACAGGAAGAGAATTACCCCCTAAATGTTTGTGTGACATTTCTGTCAGACACGAGATGACAAAGGCTACCACAGGACCCCAGAATCTGGGAATACATTTTGCTTCCCTTAGACAGAAGGGCAATCAATATGGAATCTGTSACCCTTACTAATGTCACATTTAACTGCTTTCTTCCTGGAGCTTGTAACTCAGGCACACAATAAATTAGGCTTTCAAATTATAGGTGCCAGTCGTGTATTTTTCATATTCAGCTGCATGTTTTCTGCCCTCCAATTTAGTAAGAAACTAATGTTTAAGCAATTTTTTAGCAATTCCAGCAAATTACTACTTCACCATTCTATGACAGGGGTTTATGACTTCTTACAAAGATAAATAAACCAACTCCATCCAAGGTGCTCCAGCATTAATACTGGTCACCCTTCAGTATTTTGCAGGTAGCCAGAAAGAGCCTTACTATTTTGACTAAAAAATTACACAATTTTTACCAGAAAGTTAAAATAAGTGTCAATATTAAATTCAGATCCTACATGCACTAAAGTGAAGAGACATTMACTCTTGCAAAAATAAATATATTAATAAGCAGAAACTCATGACATACAAGCTAAGCGTGGCAAATCAAGTAGCAGTGTCCCTTGGTGGAGTCTCACTGTCATGGGSGAGATCCTCATCCCACAGACACACAACACAAGTATAAAATGAAATATCGTTTATATTATATGCAACTCTAGCAAAATATATGTCAGACTTCCCCATTTTCCAAAGTTTTTTACTACTAATGCTGGACAAAGAGAAAAATAGACAGCGCATATACATTCTATATGTATATGAACACTGTTATACACACACAGAGTAAGTTAAATCTTTTTCCTTCAAACCAGTTATACTAATTASTGAAACAAGCTGTAGGATAGCAGTGTACTGCAAGCATTGTTCARCAAGCTAAGGAAAAGTTACGTTTTCAATTTCCAAGAGGAAGGGTGGTGACCTATAAAGTTGTAAAGGAAACCACTCACAGGACAATTTCAATACCCRTGCTAAAAACAGCCCCCTGGAATTATAAGAGTCTCTTCCTCATCCTGCTCAGAACAATTGAGAAATAATTGAGAAATTATAGATCATTTAAACTACGTTAACTTAATATATTAAAAAWTAAAATTAATGGAAACAGACAAACAAAATCCCCCAATTCTCACTCATGGAATTGCACTGCTCATTTCTCTGATTTCTCTGGTAGTTGCATCTGGATTTAGCTAGTGGAAAAGGTGTCCCAGAACACATAACAGGTATACTTAAAATGTGTTGCAGATACTGAATGATCATTCTCTCCCAAAGACTTTAYTTTTCAGTTTATCCTAAAGTCATTGGGGACAGGCTTAACTTAAGCCAAAACAAACACTGATTACTAGAAGCATTGTGTGAACATTAGATTGGATTTGGCATAAATAGTGATTTTTCTTTTTTTCGAATATGATCAAATCTAAAATAAATGCTACATAAGTAATTTGTAGAATGCAGGGCAATGAAAAAAATCAGGTTTATACAGCCTAATGTGATTTATTCTACAACATATTTATTCATCAAAGCACTTTATATGATAAATWTAGCATCACATTCCCTCTTAGCCCATGATGCAATCATTTGCACTGAATCCAGCAAGGTAGAGCAGCATACTGTTACTGTTACAGGCATGGGAGAGCATAAAAACAAGAGAGGGGAAAGTTTTGGGGAAAAAAGCATTGTGTCACACAGCAGAGCAGCAGACACTGCACCAGCAGACAATAATATAGCTACTTGCCCTGTCCTCAATAAATACACAGCTACAAATACTTGAGATACAAAACAATGTGTACTTAACCTRTCCATGACAAAGAAGCAGGACTTTTAAAATCTTCCAGATCACTGCCYTCACAAGTTCTGGCCTTGTCCTCTGTGTTTCAGGACACTGATTTTTTTATTAATGCAGTTGTAGTGCCTCAGATAATGAGGAGCAGTGTACCAGGGAAGAAGTTCATTGGGCAGATAACTCTGCAGATACACAGACACATGAAGGCTCTGTCCAGACAGAATCAGCACAAATTTCAAACAATGGTATGAGCTACAAAATTCTCAACTATTAATCCAGATGAGAGAGGATGATTCATTTCCAGTGTCTTCTACTGGTTCTTCTACTGGTAGCATCTTATTTCTGTTTTGCAAAGATTCCAGGAATTTAGACTAATGTAAATAATTTATTAAGAAACTGACAGGTCATGCATCTCTTTCACTTCTTGCTCAGGTTTCTTTTTTATAACACAGATAATGCACCTCTACTCCCAAACCTCAATGATAACAGATCTCAGTGATAGAAAACCTGATTATTTATATTGGTTTGGGATATTTTAACACTGGAACTGTGAAAGCTAATGCCTAAGAAACACAAACCTGAGGTAAACATTGCATGACTCAGAAGTAACTCCACTATCTTTTGTCCGCAGCGAACTCAAGAAGAGGTGAAATTTGGAAAAAAGTTTTTCCAGAGAAATATAAGATTCTGCAACTAATTTTTAAAAGCATCCATGAAAGATAGGACAGCATAGCTCCAAACTCATGTAAAAACGTCAGTATCTGGAAATCAAGAGCAGGTTTTTAAGAAACTATAGCAGAGCACTGCACCACCAGCTAGAACTTGGAAACTTACCTACAGGTCAATCTGAGATAAGTCTTTACATTCCCTAACACATTTTTCTGAACCAATTGTATATTTCCTCTGATGTGGTTGCCGCAATAATGTTTGACCCTGGCAGCAGGTACTGGACTTCAGCACTTTTCTCAGCGGGTCACAGTTTAAAGGTGGATGTCTCATTCTCAGCGCTGCGGCCACCTCACCATGGCTCCCTACAGCCAAACGGGCTGATTTCTGCCTTTGGCAGGTGCTCTAAGTAGTAYCACGGTGTTCTACAGGTGACACTGACTGCGCTGAGGGGAATACGCAGAACTTGCCAGCACTGCTGTTACTTGCAGGTTGCCATTTGGCAATTTACACACTATGTTACCARAAGCGCTCCCTTTCCTCAATTCATGGTTTAGTTTTGCAGGAGTCTCTCATTATATGTCCATCCGTGCGCCTCTAGAACGGGCGCAGTGTCCGAGCTCTGCCCTGCAGGACCGAGCCCTCGCTCCGCCCGGGGCAGCACAGGCGGGCAGGGCTCTGCCACCCGCGGGTCACGGGCAGGGAACACGCGGTTCCGTTCTGGCACTGGCGGAGGGAAGTTTACTTATTAAAGCACACCCCGAGCCGTTCTGTCGGCTGGCTGCCCTTGCCCCGCTTCGCTMCCGCACGGGCCGGGTGTCCCACGGTCCCGCCGCTCCCCGCTCCCCCTCGGTACCTTCCTGAGGGTCTCCCGCAGGTCGCGGTGCTGCGGGGTGTCCCCGATGTCCCGCGGCCCCGAGCTGCGGCCTCGCAGCGCAGAGCCCAGGCGCGCCCAGCGCCCGCCGCCCCGCAGCGCCATGGCCRCMGATCCCGGTCCCGGTCCCGCTCCRGCCACAGCCCGGGGCAGCGYCCGGGGCGCCCCTGCCCGCCCCGCCCCGTCCCGTCCCTCCTCCCGCTCCTCTGCCCCCCCAGCAAGTCACGGCAGCGCTCGGGTTACGGGCAGGTTTTCTTTAATGCCAGCGAACAGCCATGAAGCGACCGACAAGCGGGTGGCGACAGGGCCCCGCGCGGCGACAGGGACCGGCCACGCCGAGAACGGGGCACAGCCGCCCCTGCCCAGCGGCCGGCGCGGGGCGCGGCAGCTTTCGCGAGGGTTTCTGTATTTTTGTAAGGGGAAATAGAAAATATAAAGAAATCCGCTCCTGTGCTCGTTCGACACGGACCGGCGGCGGTGGGGACACGCTAGTGACTCCCTAGGGGTACAGGAGGAATGTCTGCTCCGGGGGCAGGCGCGGGGTCCCTTCTCCTACGCGATGACACAGCCTCCCTTCTCCTTGAAGGGGTTCTTGTCCTCGGGAACCCCCTTCACCAGCGGGTCCTCGCCCGACCGCTCCTCGATGTAGTTCTTGATCTCTTCAGAGCACTTGGACACCTCGAGGGAAAAAGGACAGAGCAGTGGCTGCGTTACGGTCGTGGGAAAATGTACATCAGAGGAGGAAACTCGTGAATTTACATTCTCTCTCATTCACCTTCCCTCCAAGCATAAAATATCCGGCCACAGCGACAGCACTAAGCACGTGCAGAGTCAGTTTCCTTCCTCTCTTTTCACAGCCCGATATTGACAGAACATGAGTATCTCTGGGAATGTAAATGCCACTCTGAGCTGCAGTTCTGCATAGCTAAACTTGCGTTCTTCCTAATTAGCCAATCTGGTTTTATTAAGCTGCTGSTCACAGTCTGCCCCAGCATCAGCATGACATGGTCAATAGTTTCAGGGTCAGTAACTTTCAATTCGGTTTCAAAGTATTTATGACTTTATGTGTTTTTCCCAAACRAAACATTCAGCAATGATTTTTCAGTGGTAATAAGAATTCATACTTTGCAATTCTGCTATAGCAATGATGCACCTTGAATGAGAGTCTAATTAGAAAAGACAATTTACTTACTGGTTACCTGGGGTTATTTTGAATAATAGAACAGTCTGCTATGTTGTAAGAGACTATAACATGCATAGCACTTCCTTCCCATGATATTCATAGCAGACTAGCACCGATGTAGGTAAGCCTCTCCCCTATGGAGAAGAAATGTGTTTAGTTTCTGTTCATTGGCATGGACCACATGCAGCACATGTGGAAATGGTGTCTGTGGAGTCTGMGAGTGCACAAGTGAACGTCTGGGGCTCCTGAGGTTCCTTGTGCACACACATCTCTTGCTCCCTGTGTCAGCAGAAACTGTCCCTAGATGCTCAAATACCTGTCATGCCTGAGGACATAATCCTGCTCTGTCCCCACCTCCTCCTTTCCAACCCACAGTCCTTACAGCAGCACAGCTGTGCAGAGTCAGCAGCAGGAACCTGCTGTTGACCAGKCCACTAGATGATTATTATTTCTAATTTAAGGCCCCTTCTCTCCTTTTCAATTATATTTTATTTCAAAAGTAAAACTACAAGAGAACCAATGAATTTACCTGCTGTATCACAGACAACAGAGCATTGCCTGTGCAAAATGAAGCTTTGAGCCATCAGAAAGAATGAAGTTAATTCCCAATTAAAGGGTGCATAAAATAAGAGCTAGGTGCCTTACAGCAAAGTTAGACCTACAAATCCCACTACACCTGTCTTGTTCTTCTGTACTTTGCAAACCTTGCTCATTCAAATTGGGATACTTTATAGCACAGTAAAGTTGCATGCCAAAGCATATGCATGACCAGGGGTTGTTTTACTTCAGGCAGCACTACCAGAATAATTTTCACTCATAAGAAAAATGCCTTCTTAAATACACATTTAGAAATTTTTTTTCCATTCAGAAGGACACTTCTTTTTATTCTGTGAATGCCTTAGTGGAGGTCAAGAAAACTTTGGCTGAAGTTTTTACTTCTGCTAACAACAGAAATGTGGTTTCTGTACTTCCCTGTCCCTGTAATACCCATACAGGTACCAGGGAACTGTGGCAACTATAACATAGATTTCATTCTCACAGTGAAAATTCTGTTACAATGCACTGGTAAAATTGAGCATTCTGTCTGTGCTTTACTATAGGAAAATTGAAAAATTTCCATTTTCTTGAAAAATTTCCAGGGTTTTGGTTTATTCCAAAAATGTAGACAAGTATTTAAAATTATTATTATTATTATTATTATTATTATTATTATTATTATTATTATTATTATTATTATTATTATTATTTCAACACCTTTATATTCTGCAGAGTGTACTTCAGTTATCTTAGAATGCTCTGAGAGATGATATAGGTATCTATACCAGTTGGCTGTCGAGCCCTCAATACTGCTGGCGCTTTAGTCTGTACCGTAACATTTACAACCACTGATACTTACAGCCAAAACATAACTTGGCCATTCTTATATTCTGGGCTAAACACCTAGATCTGCAATGTAATTAGTGTGACTAATGCTACTGATTCCCACATAAAAATGTATTTTTAATCCTAACTAGAAGCGTTTATTGAGGTGTAGTTTGCTTCTGCTGGCATGCAGAATTGGAAAAAAAAAAAAAAAAAAAAAAAGAATATTATCTTCCTCGTGGAGCAAGATCAGTTCTGCGCGTCATTCGTCTAGAGAAAATATACACAACCATAAACTTTCGACGGGAAAGTACTTGTGGAAAGGAACGATAAGTGTAAATCAGTGTAAATGTTTCTACAGAACAAGGCTGGGGGCTCACGGCTCGGCACGGGCAGTGCTTTGGCTCCTGCCCTCCCCCTGGGCACTGCCCAGCACGGGGAGCGGGGCGAGAGCGGCCGAGACCCAGCTACGGGCCAGGGCAGGGTGTGGTGCCGCGACAGGGCTCCCCTGGCTTCCCAAGGGAGGACCACCCCTCCCCGAGCACCAGCACGTCCCAGTTCTGCTACACAAGAGGGGAACAGAGCGGGACGTACTCCTCCCTCGCCTGGCACGGCTGCCTTGTGCCGGCCTTGTGCGCCAGGGACGCGAGGGGAGGGGAAGTCAGGGGGTGCCTGGAATGGCCGGGAATGGCCGGGATCCACCGGGAATGGCCGCAGCGGGCAGGCCCATGCCAGCCCCTCGGGCCACTTTATGGAGGGGGTGGCGCGCTCCGTCCCCCCGGCTCCACAGTCACCCCCGGGAAGGACCGGCGCTCCTATGCGATGTAAGCGGCGCTGTGCCARCAGCGCCGTCCCCGGTCCCTGGCCCAGAGCGGTGGCAGGACCCGTCGGTGCAAACTGCGGCCGCCCCAAAACAGCCGGGGCTCTAGGGACGAGCGGTCCCCCAACCCCTGCCCCTGCCCCACCCGACGTGCCCCTGACCGCCGCCCGAGCCCCCGCACCCCTGCCCGGGGGGGAACGAGCTGCTCCCCGCTCCACACCCGGCCCCCCAGCCCGCCGGGCAACTTCGGGCCCCTTCTCCGCGCCCGCTCACCGGCTGCCTTTCCAGCTTCACTTCTTTCCGGAGCTGCTCCACTTCCATTTTCAGTTTGTCCTTCTCGCTCAGGTCCTCGATGTTGATGGCTGGCATCGTCTACACTACCGAAGCGCGCAGGGAATGAGGACAAAAGGTTACGTCTGGGCAGCGAGGGCGCCGGGGCCGKAGCCCCCGGGCGGTGGCGGGGCGGTGGGGCGGTGGGACGGCCGCCCCCGGCCCGCCCCCGGGCTCTCTCACACGCTGCCGGCCGAGTTGCCCCGCTGCTCGGCGGCGGCCGCTTCCTCTCCGGCGCGCCTGCACCCCTTCCCCGCGCCGCTCCGGCCTTTAAACCGGCACGCTAATCCCCCCTAACCGGATCAGAGCCCGCCGCCCGGCCCGGCCCCGCTGCCGGGGCGTTGACACGGGCCCTGCCTGCACAGGGAGGTCCGGCCGTCCCAGCAGAGGCCGGGAGCTGGAAGACCCTCCTGTGCTGACATTCCCGGCGTCACTCTCTACAACACCAGTGCGGGATAAGTGCAGCGAGGTCGGCTGGGGCTTTTGGCCCAGCGATGAGGTCTTTCTCCCCASCACCTTCTCCTCAAGCACCTCCCGGCCATAGAAATGTCTCGTGCTCTGTGCTCACCATCCCYGGGCTCTGTGTTCTGCCCAGCAGCTAAGGCAGAAAGCAGGTGGTGTGCATGGGCACATTCCTCGATACTTGTGCATTACAACTACAGGTGAACTGGATCAAAAGTTAGAGAGGGGAAGGAACCACTTCCATGTTAAGTACCCCAAGAGGCAGCCAGCCTGTCAATGCCAGACATAGAAACTTTTTGGTAGGTATGCCTGCAAAGCAGAATTGCAACTCTGCATAAGAGAGTTATTGTGCCTGCACCAAGGGTCTCTGGTGGAAACATGGAGTTATGGCAGGTGTTGAGGGTGGAGTACTCAATGTAAGGGAGCTGATACATTCAGAAGATGSAAGGAGTTAGGAGAATATTTTCCTGTGGTTGTGTACAGTTTTGAGGTCTAGATCCCAATTAAGGTGCTATGCTTTTAGGAACAGAATGATGTTTGTACAGTGCATGTTTGTACAGCACCTAGCATCTCTCATCCTAGTAGCTGCTTTCCTACAAAAGCAGAATTCTCAATATGAGACTGAGCATAGCAGTAAGCCATTAAAATGGGCTTGTAGTCCTTCTGTTATCTGTCTCTTCAAATGCCCTTAGAGGCAGTTAGCCCTCTCTCTTTCCATCTCTATCTTTCCCATTAAACACACTCCTTTCTCCTCCTCTCYMCKCTCACCAGACATAAGCAGCTGTCAGCAGCATGTAAAGTTTGCGTCTTCTCCAGCACTGCTCTTATAGTGCTCTTGGGGTTTGTATTCATTTTACTTTAGCCAGTTCACCAAAATCAGTTTCTCTTCCTCTCCCTCTGGCWAGTATCTCCTCCTCCCCAGCTGTTGATGTGCAATTTTTACACCCCCATAACCTACACTGACAACTGCATCCCCAAACCGCACCAGCTGCTGGTCCTGGGCCAGCCAAAACAGGTGGAAGGAGCTGGCCAGCCAGAGTCTCAGGGAAGCCTGGGCTGGTGGAGGAGAAACGTTGTGGTGTGGAGAGGCAGAGAGCATAAGATGTAGTAGTGGCAGGTGTAGGGTGYGGGAGTGAGCTGAAGGTGGGCTCTGGCACACCACTGATGTAGGCAGGGTGGGAGGAACTTAGTATGCATAGGTCTGTAGTGGAAAGCCTTCACTGACCTGTCTGCTGACATGACTGTCTCTGCAGATGGCAGTCAGTAACGGACTTTCTACCACTTGCTGTGATAGAAACTTAACTTTTGCTGTAGTTTGTATATTTTTACAGGTGTTTACCTGATCAAGTTATAGCAAAGGAGAAGCTGAATAGCAGCATCCATAGATGGATAGCGGCTTTAACTCAGACTTTGATTTGCATGTGCACAGAGGAAATTGAAAATATTGAAAATTGTGTTTGCATTACAGCATTGACTTTGCTGCTATTGTTTAAGGTGGTATTTCAATGACTTTATTTGCAATTCCAAAAACTGTGATAAAAACTAAAGGATATAATATTAAAGAACATGCATATTAAAATCACTTTAGTTTCCCAGTATTAGAAGGATGACCTTTTGCTTTTTTTTTGAAAATAGAAACTGTATGTTGTTTTTTT